GGTTTTTTTTTTGTCCATAGATTACCAGACTTGTGATTCAAAAAAGATTATACTAACAGAAAAACTATAAGGGATTGATTTAGTCATAAGAATTGTTAAGAGAAGTTGTGGGCATTAATGGCTCATTTCTTTCATTCAGTAAGTGATTACAGATGCCAGTTGTACATTAGGCATTGTACAAGAATTGCAGGTACTCAGTTTAGTGGTTGTAAGAGTCCAGAAATTGTTGACGAGAAGAGGGGATGCAGTGATTAGAAGAACCAAGTGCACTGGGTGTGTAGAGGATAATGTGATACCTGACCTTTTGGAGTAGATTGACTGTGAATCTTTCCCTCCTAGAAACACTATCTCTGTATGCCTTAGTTAGAAAATCTGGACCATTGACTAGTTCTTATGCACCCCTTATCAAATGTGAGTTAGTGAATTAGACACAGTAGCCTGTTTTTAGTTAGGCCAGTCCTATTGGTAAAGTTTGTATATAATTTTTTTTAAACATACATGGTATTACTATTTCTATGTACTTTGTTTCTTTTTATTTTTCTTATTATCCCTCTTTTTAAAGTAAGATCACACTTTAAGTATGTAGTAGAGCCAGGACTCAAACCCAACTCTCAAACCTGGTTTTGTCTAGTTTCAAAACTTAGGTTTGTCATGGTGCACATCTGTAAGCCCAACTCTCCAAAAGCCGAGGCTGGAGGATTGCAAGTTCAAGGCCAGCCTGGGGTACATTGTGAGACCTTGTGTCAACAACAGCAACAAAAAAATCCCCCAAAACTCATGTTCCTTCCTCTGAGATAAATTAAACAGTCCTAATACTTGGGAGTTTACAGTGATAAGACTTCAAGGGGAAAGTTTAAATTACAGTAAAATAGTAAAAGAAATGGCAGAAGGTTAGTTGAATTTACTCTGACTAGTATAACAAGTAACTTGGGTTTAACTGTCCAGTCACTAGTTTTGTGATCTTGCATGTTACATAATTTTCCTGAACCAAGGGTTTCTTTCCTGTTAAATGGAGTTAGTACTGGTTATAAAGAAGCCATTGGGTAAGATGATTAATTATAAGTACCTGGCCAGGAAACAAATGGGTCACCTCTTTGTGTTGTTTACACCTAAGCTTTTCTTTCTTTGGCTCTTGGGATATCCATCCAAGGTTTCCAGAGGCCCAAGCAACGATCACTTTAAGGAATCAGTTTCAGAAATGTTGTCTAGAAAGTACTTTTGCCTGAAGATAAGCCATTTTTAGGAAGTTTCTCTCTCTCTCCTTTTTTTTAATTTCATGCTTTTCATAATAGGCTATTCCAGCTCCCCCAGAAAAGTCAGGCCAAAGAGAGAGATACAGAATTGAAAACAAAAAAGAGAGAAAGATCATAACCAACTGAACTTCTTTCATCCCACTCTTTCTCTATCCCATCCAATATTCATTACCTTTAGACTGCATTACAGTGTCTAAGGGTATAAATTGTACTTCCTAAAATTTTATAAAATCAGCTCTTTGCTTAGAGTCCTCTCATTCCCCTAATTTAAGAAGCAAGCTGGTGCCAGTGGCTCATACCTGTAATCCTAGCTACTCAGGAGGCAGAGATCAGGAGAATCATGATTCAAAACCAGTCCAGGCAAATAGAAATAGTTCTAGAGATCCTATCTTGAAAAAACCCTTCACAGAAAAAGGACTAGTAGAGTGGCTCAAAGTGTAGGCCCTGAGTTCAAATTCTGCCAGGGGGGGAAAAAAGCAACAGGAAAAGCTAAGGTTTGACACTAGACAAAAGCCTGGGTTTTACTATTTGTTCTGGTACTTTTAACAATTTTATGATTATTTAACCTCTTTTGAGTTTCCATTTCCTCATTTATAAAATGGGGATATACCAGCTACTTCACTGAGTTATTTTTAAGGATAAATGAGGTACTGGTTGTATGGTATTTGGTAAGTAGGCATTGAATAAATTTTCAGTTCCTCCACTTCCAAATACAGAAGATAACCCTATTGAAGACTCAGGTTGCTTCTTACATAGTTGTTTAGGCTTAACTATGATTCTTTTATCTTTGCAACTTGAATTCAGGGTTTTGAGCTGGCAAAACAGTGCTTGAGTCACACCTCCAGTCCATTTTGCTCTGGTCATTTTAGAGATGGGGTCTTGAGAACTGTTTGCTTGGACTGGCTCCAAACCTCAATCCTCCTGATCTTAACCTCCCAAGGAGCTGGGATTAGAGGTGTGAGCCACCAGTGTCCGACTAAGTAGTTATTTAAAAAACTGATAAGGGTATAAATTTACAGAATATGTTTGTAGTAGAGTATCTTTATACAGTAAACCAGTGGTCCCTACACCAGCAATAGCAGTATCGCTTGGTAACTTGTTAGAAATGGAAATTCCTAGCACAAATCCCAGACTGGGGTTGGGGCTCACCAGTTTAGTTTAACAAGCCCAGGTTTAATGCCCTGCCTTAAAATTTTAGAAGGTAGAAGCATAGTATGAAAATATTATAAGGAGAACATTTTGTATTTTTTAGAATGTTTTACTGATTTTTTGGGAGTTTAAATTTCCTTTTATCACTATTAGTGGGCCATATAAACTTTCAGGTACTTCTCATTCCTTGGGCACTCTGTACCATCTCTGTTAGAATTCCTGTCATTGTATTTAACTGTACTAAATTGCGACCCCAATAGAGTGAGAATTACAGTATGTAAACAGTTAATCATAACGGGAACCATAGTTGACTTGCTCTGTGTCTCCTGCCTTTAGTAAGTCTCCCATGATGGCTTAGTGATCATACTATTGTGTAACCCATCATCTACCTTTTAGGAAGCACTCAAATACTTGCAGTCACTCAGTGAATAAATGAAGTTTCTTTGTCTGCAAAGGTTCTGATGAAACTTTTTTTTTTCCTGTTGGTATTGGGGTTTGAACTCAGGGCTTCACATTTGCTTGGCAGGCACTCACTCTACCACTTGAGCCACACCCTCATCCCCTTTCCCCCACATACACTTTAGTTATTTTCAGGTAGGGTCTTGTGTTTTTGCCTGGGCAGGCATCAGACTGTAGTTTTTCCACCTATGGGCTCCTGGGTAACTTGGATAACCCACTTGAGCCACCTTGCCTGACTTACTGATTGAGATATGGGATCTCCCTAACTTTTTGCCCAGGCTGGACATGAACCTTGATCCTCCCAGGGATTAGCCACCATTTCTGGCTTGTTTTTTTGTTTTTGAGACAGGGTCTTGCTGTGTTGCCCAGACTGGCCTCAAAAGTTAAGATTTCCTCCCTCAGCTTTCTGAGTGCTGGGATTATAGGCATGTGCCTTCACATCTGGCTTGATAAACTGTCTTAACCTGCAAATTCAGAGTACCTTGGTGCTGATGAATGTGCCTGTGGTCTCAATGGTAGTGATGGTTTCACTGGTGTATATTTATCCCCAGCCTCATCAGTAAATATGTGCATCTTTTGGTACATCAGACATACCTCAATAGAATAGCTTAAAAAATAATACTTTCTTTGCATTTTCTTCTTTAGGGCATTGATTGAATCTGGGCTAGATAATGGTGACTAAAATACTTTCTAAGAAATGAAGTTTGGGCCAGGCACCAGTAGCTCATGCCTCATGCCTGTAATCCTAGCTACCCAGGAGGCAGAGATCAGGAGGATAGAGGTTCAAAGCCAGCCCCAGGAAAATAGTTCTTTAGTCTCTTATCTTGAAAATACTCAACACAAAACTGGGCTGCTAGAGTGGCTCAAGTGGTAGAGCACCTGCCTAGCAAGTGTGAGGCCCTGAGTTCAGACTCCAGCAGCACTTAAAAAAAGAAAGGAGCTTTAATTGGTAATTCATACATATGTTATTTTATTCTGTCTTTATAGCAACTTCAAGGTAGATATTACCTTTGTTTTATAAATGAGGAAAATAGCAATACAATTAACTTGTCTAAGTTCATACAACTAATGAGTGGCAAAGTAAGATCCAGCACTTTAACCAGACTAAAGTGGCTCACGCCTGTAATCCTAGCTACCTGGGAGGCTGAGATTGGGAGGATTGAGGTTTGAGGCCAGCCCAGGAAATAGTTCCAGAGACCACATCTCCAAAATAGCCAGAGAAAAGTAGACTGGTAGACTGGAGATGTGGCTCAAATGGTAGAGGCGCTTGCTTTGCCAGCACAAAGCTCTGAGTTCAACCCCTCAGTCTCACCCCCCTAAAAACCAAAACCAAAACCGTGTCTTTCACACTTATTCAGAAGCACTATTGCCACAGTGAAATTTTAATGGAGCTAATTTAAATTATTGATTTTTGTTTCTTCATCAAGATACAGCTTTGTACTTTTTTGGTGTTTTGAGACAGGTTCTTTCTATGTAGCTCAGGCTGGCTTCGGCTTGCTGTGTAACTGAGGCTGGCCCCTAACTTTACAATCCTTATGCCTTTGCCTCTTGAGTGCTGGGATTATAGGTGTGTACCACCTGGTCCTTTATATTTTTTCTTGATGAAGATTTTGATTTGCTTAAATTCCTTTATCCCCCTTTCCCTATCTAACCCCATTAGTTATGTTAAATCCATTTACTGTTAAGTCAGGAAGCATTTGAATGACTTTGTAAAGGCTTCCGATTAGGGTGAGAACCAACTTACTATTACTAGAAAAGCAGGTTTTGGATTTTCTAGTCAGCCTCATACAGCTTTGGTGCCTTCAGCCATTCTATCTAAAAGTAGTACATGCATCTGAACTATTTGGTTTTATTATACAATACTCTATGTTACTGCTCTAAGCCGTCTTGGTAATTTGATTTGTTATTTACTTATTTTGTGGTACTGGCTTAGAACTCAAACTTGCTAGGCAGGTGCTCTACCACTTGAGCCACACTTCCAAAATTGTTTGCTTTAGTTATTATTCACATAGTGTCTCAAGTTTTTGCCCAGCTGGCCTCCTAAGTAGCTGGGATTGCAGGCTTAAGCCACCATGCCCAGCCACACAGTCTGCCTTTTTTTTTCCAGAGCAGAAATAAATTCTGTTTTTTCCTATTCAGAAATTGAGAAGATTCAGAAAGGAGATTCAAAAAAGGATGACGAGGAGAATTACTTGGACTTATTTTCTCATAAGAACATGAAGCTGAAAGAACGGGTACTGATTCCTGTCAAGCAGTATCCAAAGGTAAGGCAAAAAAAGTGCCTCCCTTCTAAGTTAATGTAGGTAGGACAGTCATTGGCTGTGATAAAGTCTTTTGGGAATTGCAGTGCATCAGACCCAAAGCCTGTGAAATTTTCCATATTTTTTTTGTGGTACTGGTGTTTGAACTCAGGGCCTCACACTTGCTAGGCAGGTGTTCTACCACTTGAGCCACTCCACGAGCCTTTTTGTGAGTGTGTGTGTGTGTTGGGTATTTTCAAAGTAGGGTCTCTTGAACTATTTGCCTGAGCTGGCTTCGAACCTCAGTCCTCCTGATCTCTGCCTCCTGAGTAGCTAGGATTATAGACGTGAGCCACTGGTGCTAGACAGTTCCATGTTTTAGCTACCTGTTTCTGGAAGTTGAAACATCAAAGCACATAGTTATTGTCAGGAAGCATGCTTTCTCAAGTGTCCAGTCCAAGGGCAAAAGGAGAGAGAGAGAGAGAGAGAGAGAGAGAGAGAGAGAGAGAGAGAGGAAAAAAAAAAAAAGCCCTGAAAAGTTGTTCTCTGTCAGTAGATTGACCTGAAATTTAAATTTTAAAAATATAACAAATCCTTTACTGGATGAAGTTAATTTTGTTTCTACTCATTTTTGTTTGTTTGTTTGTTTTTTGATATAAGGTCTTGCTATGTAGTGGAGGCTGGCATATAACTTGTCCAGACTGGCCTTAAATTTTCCATCCTCTCGCCTTAGACCCTCCATGCTGGGATTAAAGGTGTGAATTACCACACCAGGCTTCAAATTCAAAATTTACCTTTTAAGGAAGTGTTTTCTTCTTTTTTGCAGTACTGGGGTTTGAACTCAGAGCCTCACATTTGCTAGACAGGCACTCTACCACTTGAGCCAATCCAAAAGCCCTTTTTTGTGTTGGGTATTTTCAAGATAGGGTCTTGCAAACTCTTTGCCTGGGCTGGCTTCAAACCAGTACGTGGCTCTTTATTTTTAAGGAAAGTAGCTAGTTTAGTTTACCAAATATGCTACCAAGTGGTACAATACTGTTTGTTCTTTTCTGAGATCACTGTCTTAAAAACGTTTATATATAGGGCTCAGGATTCACTTAGTGATAGAGCACTTTCTTAGAATGTACAAGGCCCTGGGTTCAATCTCTAGCACCAGCAAAAAGAAAGAAACAGTTTATGTTAAAATGTTGATTTATGTTGAAGTATTAGGGTTGCATTATATTATGAATGAGCACCAGACTATTATCAGAAAATCTAAATTCAGGTGTAGGAACTGTCACTTACTAGTTGTGTAAACTTAAACCTCAGTATATCCTTCAGTAAAATGGGCACAGTAATATTCTACCTATTTTACAGGATTGTTGGAGATCAAATGAGATAATATATTGAAAATTTTTTAGGAGCATGTGTATTTAGAAATCTGGTTATTTGTTTTCTGTCAGTTCAATTTTGTGGGGAAGATTCTTGGACCACAAGGGAATACAATCAAAAGACTACAGGAAGAGACTGGTGCAAAGATCTCTGTGCTGGGAAAGGGCTCAATGAGAGACAAAGCCAAGGTAAGCTCATAGTAGTGTGGCAAAAGAACACCCTGATGCCTTCCAGTTGCCCAGTGTCCAGTATGGATACCTTATGAAGCAAGCATTTTGTATATGTACAAAATAAGAATTACTGATTGATTGATTTTGATTGATTAGTGGGGCTGGGGTTTCAACTCAGGGCTTCATTGCTGGCAAATTAGGCACGCTAGCACTTGAGCCACACCTCCAGTCCAAAATAACACTTCTTTAAGCTTTTATTGAATGCAAGAGATACAAACCCAGATTCATGTACTTTTGCTTGATAATGGTGGAATAGCCTACTTGCACCCTGGTGATTATTTTCTTTGTGACTTTTGTCTGCATAGTAATAGAAATAGTAGTATTTTGGGCACTGATAACTTTTCTGTGAAAATTTGAAATGGGAGTTGGGTATGCTAAAACTTACCCATATTAAAGATAACAAAATGTGAACTGTACATCCCTTTCCAGTAACATGAAAAGTGAGAGCAATAGTGTTGTGAGTTCAGATGAGTTTGTGGATTAGATGGTTTGTTTTCTAGCCAGCTGGAATGTTATCTACTAAAAGAGTATGTTCCAAAGGGAACCAACCATGAGTAATCCTGACATTAGAACCTACCTAATGCTTCTTTTCCATGCCATAACCCTGTACCCTGTGTACTCTTCGTAAGTACCAGGAAACTCCCCCCTACCACATGTCTTAGCCTTAAAGGGCCAGCTTTTTAGATGAGGCATATCTGCTAAAGTCTTAAAAACTTGCTCTTTCAGGCCTCCTTTTCTACAGCTTAATTGACAAATGTTTTCTCAGACTTTTTTGTCCATTAACTTTTCTCACTATATGCATACAGTTAGGTTGAATCACGGTCAATGAGATTTAAGTGAGTTTTTCTTAGGTCTTTCCTCCCTTGGCACTCCCTAGACCATATAAGCAGATAAGCAGAGCTGGTAGTGATTAACAGCGCTACCTGGGATTTAAAAAAAAATGCTTGGCCATTAATACGTACATACTTGCATGCAAATAAATGCTTGACAAACAGCTACTATCTGAATAGAAACTAGAACTAAATCTTTTTATTTTATGCCGTCTAATAAGAGTTCCAAGTGAATTCTCCATTGATTTAACATTGTTAACCAAGTATACATTTGACAGGTTACTATTAAGTTACTATCTTCCAGAGATTTTACTGTCTTCTTAAAGTGCACTGTTCTCCTTAGACGTTGAGGTTATTTCTTGCTGTTTATTTGGTTTAGAGGTAAAAGTTTTTTCTCATTGCGATTTGATGTTTCTCTGTACTTTTCCACAGGAGGAAGAGCTTCGCAAAGGTGGAGACCCCAAATATGCCCATTTGAATATGGATCTGCATGTCTTCATTGAAGTCTTTGGACCCCCATGTGAGGCTTATGCTCTTATGGCCCATGCCATGGAGGAAGTCAAGAAGTTTCTAGTACCAGTAAGGAAATCCGTATTCTTTACCTTCTGAGCAAAGGAGACCTAGGGTCATGTACTGGGATTTTGTTTTTGTTTTGTGTGTGTAGTACTGGGGAATGATCATAGGACCTTGTGCTTGCTAGGCCAGTGCTCTACAACTTAAGCTATGCCTGGAGCACTTTTGTGATCCTCTTACCTCCACCTCCTGTGTAGCTGGGAGTACAGGCATGTGCTACCATACCCACCTCAATAATATACTATTGTAAATATACAGGGGTTCTTAATCAGGGTCTCTGCTTGACCTGAAATTATAGTCCAAATTCTGGATCTATGTTTTTTTTTTCTTTTTTTTTTTTTTTTTTCCCAGTATTGGGGTTTGAACCCTAGGTTTCATGCTTGCTAAAAAAAGTGCTCTACGATTTGAGCCACTCTGCCATTCCTTTTTTGGGTTGGGTATTTTTTGAGATAGGGTCTCACAAACTGTTTACCCCAGCTGGCTTTGAACCTCGATCCTCCTGAGTAACTAGGGTTACAGGTGTGAACCACTGGTGCTCGGCTGTATTGGGTATTTTTGAGATAGGGTCTCACCAACTATTTGCCTAGACTGGCTTCGAACCTCAATCATCCTGATGTCTGTCTTCTGAGTAGCTAGGATTACAGGCATGAGCCTGGCTGCATTTATGTTCCTTGTCTGAGGTTTTCTACTATTTGTACCCAGTTTTCAATGCACTATTCCTCAAGGCTAATGTGGTTTTCATTGTGTACTGGGTGTCATCAACACCTTGGGTTCATAGTGTGTCTGCATGCTAGTATCTGTTAGCAAAGATGTAATTAAGTCTTCAGCACACTCGGTGTTCTGGTACATTGATACAGTTAAAGAGGCTGATGTGAGGTTTCTTCAGACTGTAACCAAGCCTCAGCAAAAACGTGGGACAGACCAGGGTTTCTGTTTGGTGCCACCTAGTCAGGTTATAAATTGATATTCCTTTATCTGAGTGTTCCAGATTTGGGATTTTAATGGAACCCTAGTCTAGACAAATAACAAGAATTTACATTTCATAAACTCCTTATACATAACCTAACTATGATTTTGTTTTATTTATTATTTTTATTATTATAATTATTGGGTTTTTGGTGCTGAGGATTGAACCTGGGACTTTGGATATAATAGGCAAGTACTCTTATAACTGAGCTATATTCTTAGCCCTGATGATCATCATATATAATATTTTTAATGTGGCTGTATTTTGATTGTGACCCATTACATTGAGGTCAGGCGTGGAATTTTCCACTTACAACATCATGACAGTGTTTCAGCGTCTTGTATTTTCAGATTAGGGATGCTCAACCATATTACTATTGAACAAGTAGAAAATGGTACTGTTTTTGCCTTTTAGCAAGGCTTGATGGTTGTCAGAGCTAATAGAGTTGAATAATTAATGCCAATCATGAATCTTGATCTTTGAGGATTTGGAATACTATTCACCTAAAATTGAGTAAGTGCCATGCTTTCATCACTAAAACTATGAGGTGAAGTACAGTCTTTGGCTTTCTGTAATGTAAAATGAGGGCATTAGAACTAAATGTGGTGTGCAGAGGATGAATTCATAAGCAGTGTGTACCCATAATGGTGAAATCTCAGGATTTTAATAGTGTCTGAGATGTCTCAACAGCTGCCTAGCTTTCAGTTACCTCATCTTCATTAGAACTAGATTGTTGAACATCAAATAGCCAATTTGAAATATTCTAGTGCCTTTAAGTGTGAGGCTCTTGAGTTCAACCTCCAACACTGCCAAAATAAAATATTCTTCTGTAATTCCAACTACTCAGGAAGCTGAGGCAAGGAGGATCACATATTTGAGGAAAGCTGGGGCAACTTAGGGAGACACTGTCTCAAAAACTGGGCACCAGTGGCTCACGCCTGTAATCCTAGCTACTTAGGAGGCTGAGAGCAGGAGGATCATGTTTTGAGGCCAGCCCTGACAAAAAGTTTGCAAGACCCTATATTGACAAGTTGCTGAGAGTGATGCCTGTCTTCCCAGTGGTGGGAAGCTTAAAACAGGAAGATTTCAGTCCAGGCCAGCCTGAGCAAAGAACAAGACCTTGTCTCAAATAATCAGAGCAAAAAGGTCTTGGAAGTATGGAACAAGCGCGAAGCTTGTTTCAGACCCCCAACACCACCAAAAAAAACAAACAAAAATCCAAAATATCCTAGAGAAAAACTCACAGCTGGTTAATTTTTCCTCGAGGGAATTCTTTTTCTCTTTGAGGTTTTCTATGGAAACATCCTGAGCTGCCCAAATTTCTGAAGGACTGCAAAGAGAACACCCATTTCCTCTTTGTTGGTCTCTAGCCTATTTCTCCGACAAGACAGGTTAGTTTACAGAGCTTCCATGTAGATGAATCTTTGGAAAAGATTCCTGCCAGGAAGATCTGGCTTTTCTCAGTGTTGGTACGGCACTTGGTGGAATCTGAGCAATGTTCTGGCATTGGTACTTGATTCTCCAATGTGAGTCTCAAGCAGTAGTGATACGAAAGTTACGGGGGGCATTTCTCTAGTAACTAAAATGTTCTATTCTTGAAGTTGTATCCACCTAAGATACACAACAGTGCATGCAGAATTAAGAGGGAATGGCTCTCAACAGGAAATGTGTAAAAAGATTTGCAAATGGCCTTGATTCAGTGAGCCTACTTTTGCTCCCATCACTTGAGCCCTCTGTTTTCCAGGGAGGCTTCAGAGTAAAGCAGGAAAAGGACTATGATGGGAGCTTTCTCTGAGTCTTCTTGGATAAGTTGTCATTTTACTTTCCTGAGGTTCAGTTTCCTTTTTTTTTTTTTTTTGTCAGTACTGGGGTTTGAACGCAGGGCCTATACCTTCAGCCACTCCACCAGCCCTTTTTTATATGGGTTTTTCGAGATCAAGTCTCATGAATTATTTTCCCAGGGTAGCTTCAAACCACAATCCTCCTGATCTCTGTCTCTTGAGTGGCTAGGGTTACAGGTTTCTTGTTCATCCTAAACATTTGTTAAATGTCTGATAGATGGCTAACACTGTGTTTGGGATAAAATTATAAAAAATGGCTCCTGCTGAAGAGCTCCTAATTTGAAAAAAAAAAAAAACAGACAAAACTATTCTAAAATGATGTGACAAGTACCTGGATAGTGAATACTACAAGGGTGCCTTTGGAAAAGGGGAGGCGTGGGGTGACATCAACAGAAAGTTATTTAAGAAGTTTTATGGATGGGGGTATACCTCAAGTGTTATAGTGTGTTTGCCTAGCAAGCATGAGACACTGAGTTGAAACCCCAGTTCTGCCAAAAAGAAAAAAAAAAGAAAAAAAAAAAAGGAAAAGAAAAATTCTATTTCAGGTAAGTCTTGTAAGGGTAGAGTTCCTCAGGTGGATGAAAAAATGTGATATAGCCTGTTAATTCAAAGCCTAGATGTTAGAGACAGGAAATTCTGAATTTAGTCTTGGGTCTACCACTTACTAGCTGTGTCTTTGGACTGGTTGAGTCATACTCCCTGAATCTTTTTTTTTTTTTTTGCAACTGTAAAATAGGAAGATCTGCCTGGAGTCGTTTTGAAGATTAAACTGAGAAAATCTATTGAAAGCTTATTATGTAGTACTCAATTCATAGAGCTTCATTAATGGTAGTGGCTTCTATTATCCCAAGAAAGGGAAACTTTGTAGAGAAAGAATGTGTGAGAGTATGCAGGTTCTAAACTACAAGTTGTCAGCATAGCTTGAGAGGAGGTTGTATATAGACAGGATGGAAGTGATCTGGAGAGCCAGGCAGGGACCACATCCTGCAGAGCTCCATCTGAATAATGAGGGGGGTCAAGACTTTCTCAAAGAAGTGACATGCAAAGCCATGGGCCAGTGACTCACACATGTAATCCTAGCTACTCAGGAGGTAGAGATCAGGAGGACTGAGGTTCGAAGCTAGCCTGGGAAAATAGCTCGTGAGCCCCTATCTCGAAAATACCCATCACTAAAAGGGCTGGCTGAGTGGCTCAGGGTGAAGGCCTTGAGTTCAAGCCCCAGTACCACAAAAAAAAAAAAGAAATGACATGTAGGGTGTAATATGACTCAAGGCTTCATATGGGCCTTGAAAATTGTTCTTAGCCTCCAAGGCTTACATGGACCAGATGATTTTTCAGGAGAAGACAGAGATGTTATACAATGTTATCTTTTATTCTTAGGATATGATGGATGATATCTGCCAGGAACAATTTCTAGAGCTGTCATACTTGAATGGAGTACCTGAGCCTTCTCGTGGGCGTGGGGTGCCAGTAAGAGGTCGGGGAGCTGCACCTCCCCCTCCACCTGTTCCCAGGTAATGATAAAAGTAGATAGTCAAAATGGGATGCAGATTTGATTGCTTGAACCATCTCTCTCTTTGTAGCTTTAATCACTAACTTAAGAGGGCTCTGTGGATTTGTGTGTTTCATTAACTATGGAATTCTACATCTTGGGCACTTTAACAATAGTCAAGTGCTGCAGTCCTGCTGAAACTTTGGGGTTTTAGGCTTTGGACAATTGTAGTTTTTTTTTTTTAATGGTCTGGCTTCAGACTTTTACTTGGGACTGACAAGCTGGATTATTCAGACCGTCCAAACCTGTGTAAGGTGCACCTGTATACTATGAGACTTGAGAAGCTCTCAGTGTGGGTCCCTTATCCACAGGCACCATTCCTCTGTGCTTTCATGTAGTCTGGTTAAGGCATCATAAAGAATTTACAAATCCGAACATGAATGTGGCCTATTTATTAAAAGTTCCATCTGTGTTTTTGTAGGGGCCGTGGTGTTGGACCACCTCGGGGGGCTTTGGTGCGTGGTACCCCTGTGAGAGGTGCCATCACTAGAGGTGCCACTGTGACTCGAGGAGTGCCACCCCCACCTACTGTGAGGGGTGCTCCAGCACCAAGAGCTCGAACAGCAGGCATCCAGAGAATACCTTTGCCCCCACCTCCTGCACCAGAAACATATGAAGAATATGTAAGAATATTTTTAACAATGTACCTTTTCCCAGTATCTAGAAGATTGCTAAAGAAAGCTGAATGACAGCCTCTTGGTCCTTTATATAGGTAACAGGGACACCTATAAGATCTGGAATCTGTCCTCTTCTTGCACAGTAAAATGTAAATGTTGGGAAGATTTTTCCATTTTAGGCATGGTTTACTATCTGTGTAGATTAAATGGGAAATAAGCTGTGCTTTTTGATACTAAAGCTGAATTTTGTACTTTACTTCCTACCCACACTTGTCCTGTGGCATACTTGTTAGGGTTTGGTTTCTTTTTAGTAACTCTTTCTTAACTGTTCTACAGTGGGTATTAATATTTTGGAGGAAAATTTCATGTCTTATTAACCCAGAAGCCTGTCATAGCCCCCTGGACATTCCCTGCTGTCTGGGATTCTGACTTTCAATTTCTTTTTATTTGTTCCCAGGGATATGATGATACATATGCAGAACAGAGTTATGAAGGATACGAAGGCTATTACAGCCAGAGCCAAGGGTGAGTCAGGCACTAGAAGTACTGTTGTGTATCTTAGGGAGTTGGAGTAACTGATTTACTGATTTAGACAACACAAACCTAAGGAGCAGTATCTCTTATATTTTAAAGGTATCTCCTCTGCTTTTTGTTTGTGTTTTTTGTTTTGTTTTGTTTTGTTGTTCTGGGGTTTGAACTCAGATCCTACAGTTTAAGCCATTCCTCCGGCCCTTTTTTGTGAAACGTTTTTTTGAGATAGGGTCTCACAAACTTATTTACCCAGGCTGACTTTGAACCTCGATCTTCTGATCTCTGCCTCCTGAGTAGCTAAGATTACACGTGTGAGCCACCAGCACCTGGCTTGTTTGTAGTTTTTTGAGATCAGGTCTCACTGTGTAGCCCAGGCTGGCTTTGAACTTGCTATGTAGCCTAGGCTAGCTGCAAACTCTCAGCCTCCTGAGTGCTGGGATTACAGAAGTGCATCACCATCCCCAGCTCTGTCCTTTGCTTTTGTCATCTGTGAGGCACACATTTGGATCAGCAAATTTGGATAACTATGAATTTTATATTAAAATTTAGAATCTGGGAATAGCAGATTTAAAATTCTTAAGGTGTGACCACATGGAAACAGAGAAAATATCTTTAAATTTTTGGTTTATTAAGAAATGCTACAAAAGAAAAAAAAAGAAAGAAATGCTACAGCCACATCAGAGTTCCTAAAATTTTAAGAGGAAGCTAGAATCCTACTATAATCTAGGTGTGTTTTTGTTTGTTGGCTTTTTAAAATGCGTTTCTTTTAAACATCATATTTTAAAATTTTGTTGAAGAGAGAGTATAAGCAATAATAGGAAGGAACAAGGGTTTTTGCTAGTTGAGATTAAACATCATTTTAAGTGTGTATATGTACCTTACCTATAATTGAAAAAGAGTCTTAGGATTCTATACTAAAGAACAGCTCTTTCCTTACTTGTTTAATCTCTTCAGGTGAGCCCTATGAATACATGATTATTACACTGTGATTAAGACTTAATTTAGGATTGTGTGGATTGTATTTTTTTATTTTAAATTATGTGACATCCATTTTTCCTTGCTATAGTTTTCAATTTTCTTAAAAAAGACATTTTAGTAGCATCTATTAGTTGTATAGGATGGTTTCATTGTGACATTCCCATATATGCTTACAACAGACATTTTTTGTGAGTACATATACTAGTACATATATACATAGTTTTTTAAAAATATTTTTAGAGTTTAGAAATGGGAGCATTTGCCTATATTTTACACACAGTATAATGACTGAGATTTAGAAGCTGAAACAGTCACTCTATAGCTTCTTAACACTCTTATGTTTGGTTTGCAGGGACTCAGAATATTATGACTATGGACATGGGGAGGTTCAAGATTCTTATGAAGCTTATGGTATGTCTTTATTTCTGTGATGGGGTAAAATAAGTAAGTGCCTGGGAGAATACTGGTTGACTAGGTCCTTGGGAGCCAGACAGTCACACATCTGAGGAAAAACTTTTAGAAGACCACTGTGTTGGTAGATGTTACATTAGGAGTCCTAATTTTATGGTGTGCATATCTTAAAATAGGACTCAGACCCAGCTTGGCCAGGTTGGAATAGTAGACTTTTTAGCTAATGTTGATTGTTTCTACTTTCAGCTGGGGATGGCTAGACCTGGGTTATGTTTCTGGCCTTTGCTGTTTATACCTAGGCCATGTTGGTAGATAGTAAGAGCTTAATAATATATAGCTCTACTCATTTCTGAAGACATTTTGGATCTCACTAAAAAACATCTCAGTGCAGAGATACCAGCTAAAAGGGATTTAGATGACAAACAGCTCACCAGAACAGGTTAGGGGCAAGAATAGTTCTGTTAGAGGCTGCAAGGATAGAGCCAAGTCAGGGTAGTACTGGCACCAAGCTCCTTACTGGTTTGGAGACATCTCAGCTCAGTCCTGATCCCATGAGAGTAATGGAGGCTGGAACACAGCAGGACCTTCTCTTAAGGTTTGGTTGAAAACAGATTGCTCAAGTATATTCTCAAGAGCCAATTATGGCCTCATGTTAATGGGCCGCTCAGGGGGTGCCATGTTACAATAGATGCAGAGATCTGCCTTTTAAATGTGAGGTATTTTCAGTATACCTGAGGGACTTTCAGAGAATCCTTGGCAAAGAGCAAAGAGATTGTAAACCAGTTGCTTCCCTACCTCTAGCTAAAACAGGAGTATTATAGGCCCTCCCAAACAACAACAGGCTGAGCTCAACCACTTGGCATGATATGGAGTAACTGGAATCAGTTGTTTGGCCAGGGAAACTTTTTTTTTTAAGCACCAGTTTTAGCTAAATAGCTCTGGACAGTTGCCATTAGTAGCACTGCATTACTCTGCTCTTGTGCCACTGTTAAGAGGGCAGATGAAGGGTGATGGAGTGGCTCAAGTGGTAGAGTTATCTGCCAAGGAAGTGTGAGGCTCTGAGTTTAAACCCCAGTGCTGCCAAAAAATAAAAGGGGGAAAAAAAACCCGAAGGACAGATGATTGTACTTAGGTACTTACCTTCATCATCAGGCAGTACAACAGGGTATGTGTTTGACTAAAACTGCGTTTCTGTTTTGCTGGAGAAAAGACATAACTAAAGATGCAGACTGCTCTTTGTGCTCCTGGTATGATGCTGCCACAGTTAATTGGTTCTGGTCTCTACCATTATAAGCAGAATTACAAAATAAACTGTTTTGTTGGTACCCAAAAGTCTCTTGGAAAATGATGGACAAATGTATTATACTAGGGATATAAGTAGGGTTCTATGTGACTTTGGATCTGTGTAGAAGTTTAAGACCTGTGGTGATGGCAACAGGTGAATGCAGGCATCTGGAGATATACTTAAGGAATGGATCGGCATGGTGAAGGTATGAGAATGAGTGCAAAGAATAAGCTTGAACACAATTTTAAGAGGTCAGCTATATAAAAAAAAAAAAAAGTCAGCTATAGAAAGGAGTAAGTGATCCTATCTCTTAGGCTTTTTACTGCCACAATGGAGAACCATTTGAGTGTGTCACCCATGTTGTCTGGCTTGTCTGGACTGTTGATACAAGAAACGAGATAAGGAATTCTTTCAAACAGTTCTATAAATGTAGCAGTTAATTGTTCTTCCATTCCCCAGAGCAGTGATTGCTAGCTCTGCTGGTGGAGAGCCTCCTTTAATGTGGACTTTGCTTGCTTCCCCAAGAGAAACTTCTCCATATGGAAACTTGACTTGCTATTGCCTGGAAAGGGGGCTTCTTGCTTCCAATCTGAAAGGCTTCCCAAGTTTTGTTACCTTACTGATGCTGCCTGCCATACTGCTTTGGGAATAGGAAAGACCCATTGCAGACCCCAAGATTAATGACTCCCCTACTATCTCAAACAAGGTGTTGGGTTTATTCAGGTTTGGGGACTGGTATATCGATCATGATGCCCATGGAGAACCTTGTTGCTGGAGTACTACAGAGTAAATGCCAGGCTTTTCTGAGTTGTTCATTTCTGTCTCTACTCAAAACTGGGAAATTGTGCAGGCTTACTCAGGAGGTCCAGAGTAGACAGTAAGGACCACCAGGGAGGTATCAAGACACTAGAAGAAAAGTAGTATTGTTGTGATCCAACCCCAAATACCATTAAACTGTTTTTGCTTACCCCACAGGCCAAGATGACTGGAATGGGACCAGGCCGTCACTGAAGGCCCCTCCAGCTAGGCCAGTGAAGGGAGCATACAGAGAGCACCCATATGGACGTTATTAAAAACAAACAGGAGGGGAAAAGCTTATCAGTTATGAGCAAAGTTGTTACTGATTTCTTGTATCTCCCAGGATTCCTGTTGCTTTACCCACAACAGACAAGTAATTGTCTAAGTGTTTTTCTTCGTGGTCCCCTTCTTCCCACCTTCCTCCATTCTTAACTCTGCATTCTGGCTTCTGTATGTAGTATTTTAAAATGAGTTAAAATAGATTTAGGAATATCGAATTAATTTTTTAAGTGTGTAGATGCTTTTTTTCTTTGTTGTTTAAATATAAACAGAAGTGTACCTTTTATAATAAAAAAAATAAGTTGAGTTAAAAAAAAAACCAACAAACCTGTTAGTTTCAAAAGTGACATTGCTTGCTTAAAGGTTCTGAAATAAAGGCTTGTTAACTTTCTCTTAGTTTTGATTTGAGGCATCCCGTAAAGTTGTAGTTGCAGAATCCCAAACTAGGCTACATTTCAAAATTCAGGGCTGTTTTAAGATTTAAAATCACAAACTTTAACGGCAGTAGGTGCCACCATGTAAAAGTAAGCTCAGACGAATCTAAAAACATTTCCTTTAAAAGCACATGGCGGTTGAATCTTAAGGTTAAATTTTAATATGAAAGATCCTCATGAATTAAATAGTTGATGCATTTTTTAACATTAATTGACTTAAAAAACAACAACAAAATTAGGTTTGTAAAACTGACTTTTTCATTATGTGGGTTTTGAAATCTAGCCCCAGACATACAGTGTTGAGAGATACTTAAGGGGAGGAGTAGGTTTTTGAAGAAGTTGATTGGGGAGGAGGAGCTGGCCACTTAATTGAATTTGATGCAAAGCTTTTTAAAATCACAATCATTATAGTACTAATAATTAAAAGTTCAGTATTTAAAAAGACAAAGTATTTTGTCCATCTGAGATTCTGCACTCCATGAAAAGCTCATTTGGACACCAGGAAGCCAAAAACCTATGATTTTCATGAAGTTGATGGTTGTCAATATTGAACTGTTCCCAAGATAGTTAGTCAAGTATGTCTCAACACTAGCATGATATAAAAAGGGACACTGCAGCTGAATGAAAAAGGAATCAAAATCCACTTTGTACATAAGTTAAAGTCCTAATTGGATTTGTACTGTCCTCCCATTTTGTTCTTGGAAGATTAAATGCTACATGTGTAAGTCTGCCTAAATAGGTAGCTTAAACTTATGTCAAAATGTCTGCAGCAGTTTGTCAATAAAGTTTAGTCCTTTTTTAATCAAAGTAAATGTGATGAATTGTCATTTTTTTGGGTGGACAATAAAATAGTTTTCTCTTTCAAATAAACTTAAATTAACTCTAAAGTTAATGGGCTTGTTAAAAGTTGGAGACATTCTTAAAAGTGGTTGGGGGGAATTATTTTAAGTTTACCAAAAAAAGTTTATTGAGTTGTTAAGTTTTAGTTAAAAAATAACCAAAGCTTTTTCACCCCCTGGAAGTTGTTGAAAGCAGTTTCATCCAGTCTTGTCAAAAGTTCTAATTTCTGGAAAGAAAAACCCAACTGACCAAAACTTGGATTATTTTCATACATAGCCATCATATTTAATATAAATGCCAACCACCCTAGTTTGTACTTTCTGTACAGCCCCTAGGTGGCCCTAAAGAATGGATCAAATCTCTGATCTGAGAAGGGGATAGCACCTGATTTTAGATATGATAATTTAGCAAACCCTGGGTGCCCTTAAGGGATTCCCTTCCAATCCTAGAAATGCTGTTAATTCACTTGGCCTGGGGTGGGATCTGGCATGATAGGCTGGCCCTGAACTCTCATCTATGAGATGAAGAGAGGAAATGACGGAATTGGTTGGCCCCATTTCCACTCCTGTTAACTATCAGGGTTCTCATGCCTTCCCTAACAGAGCCACCTAAACTGCTCGGGGGTGAAAAATCCTCTTGTATGAAGTGCCAAGCTGCCTGCAGCAGTGCATGATGGACATTTTTTTTCTTTTTAAAACACACCAACAAAAAATGTATTTATAGATTGTGATAAAGTGTAAATAACTGAATTTTCAACCATGGTTTGAAGTCAGCTTTCAGGGCATTATGTCTTGTTTTGATGAAAAGAGATCACTCTATACCCCCCTTTTTAAAGGAAAATTATCGCAAGAGAATCAGGATGTGTAAAGCTAACATGCATCGCAAAAAACCAAAGGTAACCTAAATGTCTGATTTTAATAGCACATATTTCTCTTTTATAATAAACTGTGACAGCAACTTGCATAAACAGTTCTTTAGCTGTTAATTTTAATGTTAAAACTTTGCAAAACTTGTTTAATAAAAATAGCTGTAAAAAGAAAAAAACATGCTGCCACATAAATTAGCCATAACTCTTAATAATCCTGCCCATCACAAGTGAACTGTAATGTAACCTGGGCACAAAGTCTGACATCTTAAATGACACATTGTAAAATTTCAATGATTGTAGAATAGACCTCTGCTGCACCCCAAAGAAGGCTTTCTGTTCAGCTATTTTAAAATGTACAAGGATGAGCCCTACAGGATCCCATATTTATATTCACAGTGAAATATTACTTAAAATTTCTTAAAAGTTGCATGTTTCTTTCCTGTAATGTGTAAACTGCATGCAGGATCTCTATCTTTTATTTTGTGTGTCTTTAAATTTTCCTCTTCAAAAGATTGATATCTTATTTCTCAATTTTCAGGTGATTGAAAATTCTTGAAGCATTTCCTGGAATAGAATGGGTAGTGAAGACCCATGCCAGGTATGTTAAGGTAACTTTCTGGTAAGGACAGTAGGCCTTTTATCGTAACTATAGACCAGTAATGCTAGGAAGTGACCTGCAAGATGGTCGGTTTTTCTATGGTCATTTGTACCATAGTCATAATTTGCTCAAAAGTGAGTTTTCAGTCCCATAATGAGTTTACTTCTGATGGTTAAGAAGACCTGATTAGACCTGATAGTGTCAACTTACACATCCATTGAATTCTACTCTATTCTGTTAACCTGCCAAAACGATGTTTCATTTGGAGTTTATTGATTGCAAGCATCAAAGTGGCTAATTGAATAAAAGGAAATTTATTGGAAAGATATTAGGGACTCTGATTTAGTGCAAAGACTAGAAAATATGGCTTGGGAACCATAGCAGCTCGAAAGAAGTGGGATAGCAGTGGTAGACCACAGGAAATGATCTTGGAACAGGAACTGGATGCTTGGGCACTATTACTAGAATTTGCTTTCTTTCTCCTTCGATTCAGTATTCAGGTTTTAGGGTAGGAACATCAGACTGGATTAGCCTGAGTCCAGTCTTCAGTAAGAGAATAATTCCTCAAAAGGAAGTTGAGTGTTACTGTGAGAGGGAAATGGATGCCATGGAGCCAAAATACAAACGTACGATAATATATATTTTACAGAAGTAACAGAGACTTAATGAGGATAAGTGACTTCCCAGGTCACATATAGCATGGCACAAGTTAATGAGTTCCCAGAATGTATCATCTTAACCATGTAGTATGTAGGAAAGGGATATTACTTAAACTCAGAAGACCTTATTGTGGTGTAGTAAATGGGATATAGAGCCTGACAAGCCTAGAGTTGAATTCTGTAAGCTGTTTTTTGCTTAGTGACCCAAAACAAATATTTTTTCCTATATCTGGGGAAGGAAGATGGTGATAATGTATACCTCATGGTGACTGGTGAACTGAGAAGGAATTCTAAAAATACATAGGCTGAGGGTATAGCTCAGTGGTAGAGCACTTGTTTATTATGTGTACAGCCCTGGATTCACAAAATGCATAAAGCCAACCAATTCAGTGCTATATATATATGTATATATACTAAATATTACTGTTCTTTTCCTAAGAATCCTTTGACTCCAGTTTAATTCCATGGTTTGCATAGTTGGAGGTTTTTACAGCAGTGAGCCTTCCTGCTCCTAGAAACTACTGAGGAACTAACTGGCTGGTTTCTCCCTCTGCCACTGAGTGAGGTGGTAGGGTTAGGATGGCGCTGAGGAAAAAGACTCTGAACTAGATAAGCCAAAGGCACTTACAGCTTTTGAGAGTGAAATGGGACTCTCTTGGAGCTCATTTCTTCCAAACCTACCTCTCAGCTGGGAGCTTCTGAGATCTGGAGGCTATAAGGAGCCTTACTACACATGTGTAGTAAGCACACTAAGGAAATCTTATGTTTGATGTTGGTCACATGAATATCTAGGGAATTTAGGTGGGAAATACCCTTAATTTGAAAAATTTAGTCTCAGCTCTTCCTAGGGTAAACTTTTCCAAACATAAATGTTTTTTGTGTATATTTAACTTAATATATTAGATAATATATTAATAATATAAATAGAGATTATAAAAACCTTAGTGAAGCAAATGAACATATCCATCATCTCAGTTACCCTTTTTGTGTGTGTGGCAAGAGCAGCTAAGATTTGGCATGAACTCCATATACAGAGTAATTTAAATACCTATAAATCCTCATAGATCTCTAGATTTGATCATACATACAATACATTGTATTTTTTTACCTACATCTTCATTTCCTCATTTCTTCCTCCTGTCCTATTCTAGGATAGTCATAAGAGCAGAAATGGGGTGGAGGGATATAGCTCAATGGTAGAGAGCTTGCGTAACACTGAAATAAAAACAGGAGAACTGGGAAACTCCTTTTTTTTTTTTTTCATTTGGTCTGTGATTTATGCTTAGGTGGGTTCCATTGTTTGGAGACCCAGGCTTGCCAGTGTATATTTTAGTCATTTGATCTGAGTGTCTTCTGTAGCTCTCACTACCTGTGAACTTTCACTATAGTTCTGTCAGCTTTGTAGGCAAGCAAGAGTATTTGTCATGGTTCTGCCTCATTTTAGCCTTTGTCACTTTAGACAAAAATAAATGCTAAATAACCTCTCTTCATGTCTCTTTCTTTGTCATTAAATGAAGTTGATAACAATATCTAACATTTATCTCCATCAAAATATCCTAAGCAGTTAAAAAATTTTGTCTCCTCTGATCCTTTTTGCTTTTTTGAGATTAAATTCATATAACATAAAATGTATCATTTCAACTGCGATTTTTAGTATATTCACAATACTCTGTGTAAACATCACTATTTAATTCTAGAACTTTTTTTTTTTTTTTTTTTTGAGATAGGATATTCTAAGTGTGTCTCAGCCATTCAAATGCTACAATGCCTGGTATAATTACAGAACCTTTTTGTCCGCCCAAAGGGAATCTAGTCCCTATTAGTATTCACTCCCTCTTCAGCCAGCAGGGACCTTTTCGCCCAAGCCAGCCTAGACCATTGATCCTTTTTTATGCCTCCCACATAGTTAGAATGACAGGCACGTGCCACCATGCCCAGGTTGAGATGGGGCCTTGCTAATTTGTTGCCCAGGCTGGCTTCAAACTTCAGTCTTCTTTTTGCCTCATAAGCAGCTAGAATTATACACCTGCTCCTGGCTTATGTTCAGTCTTAAAGGATAAATAAGAATTTGCCATGCTGAAACAAATAGATGGCCTTTTTTTTTGCGGTACTTGGATTTGAACTCACAGCCTATGACTTGAGCCACTCACTCCACCAGCTCTATTTTCGTGATGGGTTTTTTCAAGATAGGGTCTTCTGAACTATTTGCCTGGGCTGGCTTCAAACCTCAATCCTCCTGATCTCTGCCTCCTGAGTAGCTAGGATTACAGGCTTGAGCCACCTGCGCCTGGCATAGATGGCTTTGAGCAGAAGAATTTTAAATTCTGCCACCTCTAAAGCTAGTTATTAGAACTTCAAGTGAGTTATCCTGTCCAAGTCTGTTTTATCATCTGTAAAATAGAAATATCATTTACGTCACAGCATTTTGTGAAGAGTGAGTGAGCTAATGCATTTAAACATTCAATTTGTGCTGGGAATGTTGCTCATAAAGCACGTCTTAGCATGTATGAGACCCTGGGTTCAATCCCCAGTACCACCAAAAAAAAAAAAACCAAATAAATTCAACATGATACGTAGTATGCATTTAATAAACATTATAAGCAGATGTTAGAAGACTAGGTAGTGCTGGTTTTGAAAAGCTAGTTTAGGGAGGTATTTAAAGCTTCAAGCATGAGAGTGACATGAATCATACGTGTTTGCCACTGTTCTGGCAAAGTATAGAAAAATTTAGGGAAGCAAAAGGCAAAAGCTTCCCATAAAGCTCTCCACTTTTTTGCCAGGGAGGGGTATGGATCTTCTCCCTCCCTCCCTTGTTGTCTTCCTCTTGCCTGGAGGCCTTTTGCCTCTTTTACAAAAAGGAGAGTCCTGCCAGGTATTTGGGCTGTTTCCGACAGCCATATGTTAATTGGAATCTTTTCATATCTTATGTTTTTCACTCTCCCGTAATAAGAATTTTTCTCTTAAGGGATTGTTAAGCAAGGCTTTGCTTCACCACTTTGTTCTGGTCCTAAATGGATAAGGTCTCTGCCTCCATTTTAAGTTCAATTGTATGCTCACTCTGTACTAGGAGCATCATACAGCATCAACCACTGTATATAGAGTGGGAAACTAATGTGTAGAGGTTAGAAGGATCACAGGGTCAGAAAGCTGGAGTTGAGACCCAAGTCTTTCTGTGCTTACTTTGCTGCCTCCTGATATCTTCTCTGTAAGTAGCATAGCCAGGAGATCAGCTTACACTGAAAGCAGTTCCTAAACTTGGTGTATAGAACGGGTGCCCCTTGCTTGATTTCCAGATTCCTAAAGGGAAAGACTTAGATCTTTATAAGTCCTTACTTTCTTTCTGGACCTATGCATACCTCCTGATTAATAGTCACTGCATGTTTAAAGGTAGCAGTGATGAATATTTAATCACATAGAGCAGACAGACTGGAAACAGCTGTCTGAGACAGCAGCTGTTGGGGGGAGGGGAGGAAGTACATTATGCTTCCCAACTACTCATTCTTTTGTTTCTTGGCCTAGAAAATAGACCTGTCCCTTAGATCCCTTAGAATAAAGACACATGGTAGACCATGAGCCATAGACCTATTGCCTGGTTGCTGCCCTGGGCTCCCAAGGATGCTATCCTCAAGCAGCAGATTGAACCTTTTTGTTGGGAAATGGGAAGCAGAAATGTTCACTGACATCTCCAATTGATTCTCCTATTCCTGGGCTGGAGTCTTCTACACTATTGTCTGTTCTGGGACTGTGGAGCTAATATACATTCTCATCTAGTGTTCTAAATCCATCTCTTCTAAAATGAAGGAGAAAGTCTGGGCATAGATTGGTGCATGTCTGTGATCCTAGTGCTCTGGATGCTGAAGCTGGAGAATGGCATTCAAGGCTAGCTAGGACTACATAGCAAGACCCTGCAA